ACACTGAGCGTCTCAAGCAGCTGCACTGCTCAACAACATCAATAAAGCCTGGAAAACGTTCCAAATAAATTGATTTCAAAAGAAAAAGGGGAAAAAAAACCCCAACAGGTAAGAGGTAGGTCTCTCAGCTACGGCGAAGAGGCTTGATACAACCTCTTCCCTGCTGAAGCAGGTGTACCTAATGGAGAGTCTATTTTACTGTATATGCTCCATATTGTTAGACTGCTATTATGCCCTCACTATATATCCCCATAATTAATTCCCTGTATTCTGCCAGATATTTTACGTGGTAGGAATAAAGAATAGAACCAGCCAGCCCGCTTGTGAGCAATACACGAAAACCAGCTGCAAACGAATAAAAAAAAAGAACTCAACAATCCAAACTGAATTTCCATTTGCAACTAAATATAACACCTCAGAAAACAAACTTTCCTGGCTGGATCATGACAGGAGATTTGGAGCACCAGAGACGCATAAGGGAAAAATAAATAGCAGTGGATCCCAAGACAGCTACCTAGTGATTTTTCACCTGTCATCAAGAACTATGCCATTACCAGTTCAGAGAGATGATACTGAAACTGTAAGGCGGACATGAGAAGCCTCAAAAGACTAATGCAACAGCATGCTTCCCTTCTGCTTTTGTCTTCTATTGTTCTGGTAAAGGGTACTCCTCGGAAGACTGCCTGAAAGATGCTTCTATTTTCCCTCGTGTCTATTGGATTTCACTTTACAGAGGAAAAGCTACAACCCCACGAAGATCTTACACCACATCAGGCAGGATCCCATTCTGGCTGACAAACTGCTGGAGACTCAGATTTTCTCTGCTCTCAGTAGGAGCTGGAACATCAGCTGCAAAGCCCGAAACCTGCCTCAGCCTGTACTTCATGCCATCCCTCCCACACAGCTGCATGGCAGCAAGAGCTCTGAAGCTCACTCGCTGCCGTAAGAAGTCTCTGTATGCCGGGTGGAAATGCAAGCGCTGCTCGGAAATGCATCGGGGTCAGCGAGATTCCTGCACTTGAACACTCAGGGCACGGGAAATGCAACAGAAAGGCCAAGCACAAAACTTATTTTAGATCTGGGTGCTGAAAATATTTGTGTTAATCAGGTCGAGAAGAACATATGGCAGGTCTGTTACTTTCAAGCTGTGAAGTGGCTCTTGACCTAAGCCTCCCCGAGCTTTAAGAATTACATGGCATAACTTACAGCCAAATGTATTTGTCCACCTGTACTCTTCTGACCATATCATGACGATACAGAGAAGCAGCGGATGTGAAGAAGCGGATTCGGGCACTCTAGATTCCAGACTTGCACTAAAATAGGTAACCTACAAAGAGGTATTTTGTCACAATTCTGACAAAAGGAGCAAAAAAGCTTGGGGGATCTTTACAGATCAGTTGTAAAGAAATGCTGTGCAATGTATGAGTAGAGGACAAGTCTGCTTACTGATGGGGAAAAATACATGGACATGAAACCAAGCTAATTACTGTAATTAAGGTGAAGAGATTTAACCCATTTGTGAAACGCTGGGCACCACGTGGAACAAGCAGGAGCTAGACATGCTCTGAACATAGCGCGAGGTACTGTAAGGCCTCATTGCAAATTTAAAGATGACAAGTAGGACACAAAAGCTTGAGAGGGCCACACGACGGATGGGGCCGTGTATGAGAACGCTTTTTAATCCATCTGTCCCCACAACACTACCATCTAATAAGGAACTGTTGTCACCCTGTTTTATAGGCTACGCTTGCTGACACAGAATTACCCAACTATGCAAGGAAGCCTGAGGCAAAGCAAGAACCTGAATTATCTTACAAGTCACAGGCAAGCGTTTGAACTCAACACTCTGCTCCCTCTCCCTTCCTCCAAGAGGCTGAAGCTAAAGGGAAGCGTGGCCTGTAATTCTCCTCTTGCATAACACACAGAGAATCATCACGTTTGCCAATGCTGGTCTTTCATTATACATCATATACGGTGTCACAGAACAAGGAAAATTTTTCCCAGCACGTCCATGGAAGGAAATCACTCCTGGTAAAATATACACCACCAATGGCACGATTTTATTTCAGGTGTTTGGGTTTTCTTGACACAGTACAGCGAGTTCTTGTTTGATTCACGATGCTGCTTTAATGAAAACAGCTTATTAATAAGCTACGGGCAACAGCTGAATTCCTGTTATCTAGCAGCAAGCAAAAGAGAACTAATGCACAGCAGAGATTTTTATTAAAAGGCAGCTTTCTATTTTTACCAGCTGAACACAAAAAACCTTGTTCAAATGATAGGTTGTGGCAGCTTTCAGAAAATATGCATTCAAAATTTATCAGAAATGTCCAGAACAAGCAAATCATCCATCAACTAACCTACAGCTACAGTTAACCACGTATACGGTTTGATAGGCATTATCATTCAGGTACCTGGCTTTGAGAGGTCTCTATATAATCCTGGGCATGAAGAAATTTATATTCTGGTTTGACATTAACATGTAGTGTGATTTTGGCCAAATTACTGGAGCTTTTATGACTCATTCTTTCTTCCAGCTATAGCAAAATAGGACACATCGCCCCACCTCAGTCATGACTTCAGTAAAACAGAGGTCTTTGGATGACTGACACTATACTGAGTACGTTACCACCCAAACTACGCACGCACTAGTGATAGCTAAATTGAAGCTATATTGTAAACCCTTAAGATTTCTTACTGTTTTAAGTCCCACTCGTTCATTTTGCAATCATTTAGTATATTATGTCAGACCAGCTTCCCATGGAGACAACTATATTATCATAAAGCACAGAGGGTCAAACCTCTTCAAGAAAGAACTAGGACGTAAGCTCCGTAGAGAAAAGGAGCAGACCTGAAAGAAAAATACTGTGGGAAAAAAAGCAGATTAAATAAAAGAACTGCATTCACATGTCCATGTAATTACAGTGGGTAGAATTTGAAAGGATGTTTGCTCCCTTGGGAGCAATGATGTGTACTCTAGCCCTCCTACACCATAGAAGCTTTGCTTCTCCCATAGTTAAGTGAGAACTTGCATCTCATTCTACCCAACTTGCCTAGCAGCAGCAATGAGGAATTACTGAAGAGGCAGGAAGGAAATCACAGAGGGGTAAAGAGATTTAAACGAGATACTTGGATAGACACTAAGTAACAGAAGAGTCACAGCTTTTTTCTTCTTTTTTTCCCATTACCTCCTCCTCCCACCCCTCTAAAAAAACCCTTCACATTCATCAGGGAACAGATTTTTCTCAGCTTAGTGTATTCGGAACGTCACCAACTGTAACCAAGTCATGAAACATGTTCTGCTTGGAGAAGACACACTTTATGGAACTAAAGTACTTTTACAGCTTGCCACCTTTTCAAGCTCATCCTGAATTCTGGGAGTGGGCAACAATGATTGCTCTCCTAGAATTTAGAAACCTTAGCTGACTTGTCACCAAACACAAAGCAGTGAGGGGGCTGCAGGGCTCACCGGAATACTTCAGCCCCAACCTTGCCAATCCAACCTTGTTTAAATAAATAAGCATAAATATGCAGTCACAGGATGGGGGACATGGACAACAACCAGTTTTGTGGTCTTTGTTCCAGCAGACAGCATAAAACAGCATCCTAAAGAACACCCAGCCTTACAATCCACTGCTTTCCGCTCAGCAAGTCCTTGTTCACCCCACCGCAGAACCGCTTTGCAGCTCAGCTTGCTTCTTTTTCAAGAGCCAGGTACCTTTTACATTTTTCCCCACAGAGGCATTACATCAGTGACGGTTTGGTAGCAAATGGTGAAAAAAACCTGGTAGACTGAACACCTGCTGTCACTTGGGTATACCTACGAAGCCTTTCCTTTCGAACCACAGCTCATCCTGCTGCAAGTAGCAGATAAGCTACTCGGGCAGAATCCAACACTGCAAGGTTATTAAAATACAAAGCTTAAAGATTTTACAGTTAAGAATTCGGTCAGTGTATCAACTCTTACCCACTGCAATCAAATGGATTCTTCCTGCAATGGAAGACAAAGCAACAGAGGGGCCTTACAGAAGACAATAATATGGATTAATTTACCTGGTAGGTGTTGTCAAAGCTGTCGTACATGAACCTGGTGATCAAGGAAGTCTTCCCCACTAAAAGAAGGAAAAAAAAACAAAACCACAAGTTCAAGGAACAATTTCAGTGCAAGTATTAAGCAAGAGATTTAAAAATGGTTTCAGGAGGTGTTTTATTCTGTGTCCAACAGATGCGTACTGTGCAATTAAACTTCCTAAAAGCAAAAGAGCAGTCATTTGACTTTACAATTGCAAATTCACTAATAGGGACATTTTTCTGAAAAAGCCTTGTCCCTGTATCATTCCTGAGCATCAGTTTTACTCTTAAACATTCATGATTTGAGACAAGAACTGAAATAATTTGCTTGTTCCAGTTTCTACCACGTCATTCAGAAATTTTAGTTGAACTAAATTAACAAATGTAATAGGTCTGACAACCCCTACAACAAATTATTATAAACAAGACAGCTCTCCTCACTCATAAAACAAGGTAGCTACGTTGCTTTAAAATACATCTCGCTGCGCACCTCCTCAATGTCACACTCTCCGTATCTGTCACACAAATGGCAGTCCCTGCTGTAGTATCACGGTAGCGTAAGACAAGATTGAAGAGCGTCATTGCTGAGAGGCTCGTTTACCATCTGCCCACAATGCCCACAGTCCCCATCACTCCATTAACTTCACCCTTCCTTTGAAAACGTATTCACTATACCTTTTTGTATAAGCAGGTTCATACGCTGTTAAAAATGCCATTATTCACCCCAGCGATGGCTGCAGCTCGTGACCGGTGTATTTGCTTAGCTGTTCAGCAGAAGGAGGTCTGTGGGCACCGCAATCAGAAGGTGTCACTGCAGCACGTGCGGGCACACCTGATAGTCACGGGGACACGGGCGATGCCTTTTTCATGCAGCCATTTGTGATGCTGCAGCTCCTCTGTGACTGCCACTCCGCTTGGCCAGGTTAAACCACAAACTATGTCAAGAGCCTCATTTCCTAACCGAGATCTACATAAACTGTGCGTATCATAACATTCCAGCCAGGTATCAGACTACCTTGTAATCTCATTTTCCTTAAAAGACAAGTAATACGAGGTTCATTTTAAAATAATTATTGTCACAGCAGTTACTTTCTACTCCTGTAAGACCAACGACAGAGCTGAGCTGGGATAAAGCCTAACTCGTACTCAGTGGACAACTTTTTCCTGCTCCGTGCCACCTTCACCTGGAGGGGACCAACAAGATCCACAGGAACTGGAACATCTCAACCTGCCTCATTTCAGTATGTCTAAAACCTCTTAATTGTGGGCAAATTATTTAGGAAACAAGTGAAGTTACTCAAGGATATATCACCTCCAGTTGTTTTCATCTAACCTCCTTGCAGCTGGAATTTGCCACCTCTCACTGGCAGGGGAGAAGAGCTGTATGACTCATGTTCGCCATCAAACATCACTGGTACAGAGAGAAGGCTGTTAGATGTGCACAAGCCAAAGCTTGTATTCTTCAAATAAGCTTCCAGAGATGTTATTTCTCTGCAAGGATGACCATCAAGATAGCAGGAGAATTTAAGCCAAGATTTTGGTGGTCAGATTTATTTTTGGGGGGTGTCTTGTTTTGGGGAGCTTTGGGGCTGTTTTTTGTTTGGGGTTTGTTTTTGTTTTTTTTAAATCTTGGTGTAAAACCTCCAAGAAAATCTCCAGTATTGTCCTAAGCAGCATTTCAATCCATCTGCAAACTTCCGTTAACTCAGTAGAAGTGCTAAACTAACAGGAATCCAGTAGACAGCATTTGAGAAAAAGATTTCCCCAAGTGTCAAAATTCTAATTCCTGCGTGTATTTTTAACATATCCCGCTCCATGGGCATAATGAGGTTTCCCCCAAGGTTTAAAAGCTGCCTTCGCAAAAGGCAGAGCAAACATTCCCTTCGGTGAGTAGGTTTTTAGAAGCGACGCCATCTCAGATGGGCAGGATTCCTGAATCCCATATTCAAATTTGTCCCAGGCCCCCACAGATGTGTTGAACAACAGCACAAGCTGGTGCAGGACAAACAGTCACGGGTTGGGAGACTCAGCACTCGAGACCCAGCAACTCAAATCCTCAAGAGACAGAGACCAGCAAATCCCACTGTAGCACATGCTATAAATCCCAGGAACAGGTCTGAGGCACCACAAACAAGCTGGCTTTTCCTCACATGGCCACTGACGCAAACAGTCAAATTTAATTCTTTAGAGGTGCAAGGGGATGTAATCAAACCCACGAAATAATTTTCTTTGGTAAGTCACAACCCCTGAAGAACACCGAAGTCTTCCAGCAAATAATTTCCCTTCCCACTATACACTGAGATGTCCTGGAGGGAGTCTGTCGAGAAACTATAAAATCTGTAAATATTTTCTATTTCATATTCTTTGAGCTTACCCTATTCAACCTTCACTCATTTCACAAAAATATGGGAAAAATTAGGTGCCCCTTGGCTTGCTTATATTTAAATATCTGCTTCAACCAACATTTGGATAGAGTGTCTTAATGCACTTCAGATCTAAGACATTTCTTCTCCAAACAGACCACGGTTTTCTTTACGTAGTATGTCAACAGGCACCAGATCAAATTAGTATTAATACCAACCGCTTAGAGTTTCAATTCCACAATGACTACTGAAGCATCACCATTTCTCCTTTAAAAGAAAAAAAATCTTGCTTTAAAAATCCTGGCAGAAGTGAAAGCCCACAATTCCCACTGTATCTATAATGAAAAGTCAGTGAATCTCCTCTTCAGAAATTCACAAGTTTAGATTATATAAACAGACACCTTGTCCAGAGGGTTACAGGCTTGAAATATTCCCTCTTTAAAAGAGCCGCTCCTAATACTTAACACCATCTCACCTCTCCCCAGCCTCCCCACACACACCGCCCTGCTTGCCAATGGCAGAAACTATCCCCAGCCCTACAAAAAATAGCCGGATGAATCACCTTAGGATTCATATACCATCTGTTGCACACTAAAGTGATGTGGATGCATATGCTGATTCTCCTGCGCAAGCCGAGCTGCTACAAGCCCTCTTTCAGAGAGCTTGAACAAAGAACAAAACCACACGGAAATTAATCTCTCGTCGATTATGTTGATCACATTTTTCCCACACGGGGGCATGGCACAGGCCCCTGGGCTACTCATCGCTAAAAGCACCGTCACACGTGATTTTGAGTACACCAAGTACCTAAACACGCTAACCGTATTTATGATGGACCTACTACCACAGTTACAAACGAAATTCCCAATAAGGAATTTAGCACACCACAACCTGCAGAAATAGCTGATGTTTTTCCCCTCCCCTGGCAGTGCAACAAGGAAGGGCCATTGAGGCACAGTTCACCATTCGCTTTTGGAATCGAGCTCCTGGGCTCCAGGATGAGTTTTATTTTTACATCGGTTTTGAATCAGAACATCACAACAGAGCGTTAAGCCACTGTGCATGACTTCAAAAAGAAATAAATATAACAATAATAAAGAACATTGCCAAAAAAAGAACCAATTTCTCGACCGAGGATCTGCAGGAGAATTTGAATCCCATTCTGTTACATATTTTCACTTGTTTTCCGTTCTGTCTTGCTGGCGGTATGTTTATCAAATTCACAGAAGGCATTAATTTGGGAGTGATTGCAAGCACGTTAGAGGACAGAATCAGAATTCAAAATAATCTTGAAAAACGCAGAAGTGACCTCAAGAGGAAAATGAAGCTCAGCAGGGAGAGGTAGCACAAGGTATTACACACAAACAACAACTGGCTGCTTAAAATACAGATTGCAAACAACTGGGTAAGCAATCTGGGCGTTATAACCAAAGGAAGCAGATAAGACAGTCAAGACTTCAGCCTTGTTTCATCAAGCAGTTGTTTTGTTTGGGGGTTTTTTGTTGTTGTTTTTTTTTTTTTTAAATCTACTGTGTTAATTTAATCTCTTGGAAAAGTTTCAACACGCAAATATGTCCAGGGCAACATCAGTCAGCAATGCAGTAGCATGCAACATCCTTTGGGCCAAAATATTTCTGGTATGCTGCTGGGACAAAAAAAAAAAAAAAAATTAACATTATCCTTGGAGGAATAAAGGTGGGGGAGGAAATGCTGCAAATGGGTTTCCACCGCAGTGCACAGCTTTGGCTGGATTCTGCTGGACACACTAACAGCAAGTGAGGAAAAACCTCAATTCAGGAGTTGAGAAGGAGCTTTTTGGCAAGAAAAAAAGGGCAGCTTGCACAGTTTACCAGAACAACTGGAACAACGGACAGCAGAGAAGTAACACAGTGACAAGGAAAGGTGGTCTACAGCCTCTTTTCTTTCTGTAGATCAAGATCTAACAGCTGAAAGCCAAGTCCAAACAAAGTCCTACCAGAAGAGGCGTGCAATTTTGAACCTGATGGAAATGAAACCCTGCAATAACCTATTCAGCTGGGCAGTGAATTCTCCTCTGTTCCTTGGCACACAGACTTGACAGATGTTATTCCAGTGTAGGAATTTCCATGCAAGGTATACAAGAATTTTTTGAAGCAGAGGGAAGCTAAGAAAATAAGTGATTAACCAAAGAAACCATTTGTTCCAACACTGCACCTGAACATCAATTTTGGAAACTCTTCTGTCGTTAAGTGGCTGAACAACAGGAGCAGCATGGGTTTCATTAGATGAGGTTTCTGCTGCTTCAAGCTTTTGATCCAAAGAAAATAAAGTCCACGTTAACCAGCTCCTCATCATACAGCTGTGATGCAGACACCATTACATAAGTGCACAGATTATCAATGTACACTCCTGGATGTCAAAGTGACCAGCTCCAACAGGAATTTTTAAGCTTATATCTGACTTGCTCAGATGATTTTCTTCAGCTACACCAGCTCTGGAAGAACCTGGACCTAGATCACCGGTGGCTCCCATACTGAACTAGCTACTCACCCTTCTAACCATCAAATCTGAACATTAATACACACCGCAGGGCCTGTGTGGTGCTTCTTCCTGGGAGGCTGGGGGAAGAGCAGAGAGAAGTGTTTTGCTGTACAAAGCAGTAAGTGGAAGCATTCATCCGCATTAATTCTGAT